GTTCAAGGTGTCCCTGCTCCTGCAGGGGGGTTGGACTGGGTGACCTCTACAGGTCCCTTCCAACCCAAAACATTCTATGATTCTATAATTTTTCTATTACCCTGGATGTGCTCTTGGGGCCTTTGGAATTTATTATGAGCAAAGTTTTTGGTAGTTTCCTGTCAAGACCCCATTACTGCTCACTGGCACGACTGGAGAGACTTACAAAGTGCATTCAGGATATACTGCATATTTCTCTGTTCCAGATCAAATCCAATCAGAGTGCAAAGCCGGAGCAAAAGTCACCGCTGTGCAGCAGCACCAACAGCCCTGAACCCCTTCTTTTTTACACTGGCCTTTGGGTGACTCCTGGTATTCCTTTCTTTTATCCCAAGACTCTATTTTGCTCCCTGCTGCTTCCAGTATCATTCCAGCATCTCGGATCCAACTGGATTCTTTTTCTGCCTCTTTCCTTAGCCTTTGTCTCCAAAAGAAAGCGGTAAAGTTTCCCCACAAGTATTTTGGAGGGCTCGTGTGCTCTGGGCTAATGGCAGGAGATGAGCGGGGAAGGGGACGGGTGACAGCCGGCTCCTCCGCAGCGGCTTTTGCTCTCAGCATCCGAGGGAGATCAGGCAAGGCAGACACGCAGGGAGCAGAGGTGGTGCCTGAGGGCTATTTTTATGCTTTTCTGGCTGTCGCTGCAGTTTCGGATCACGACAGAGGGGTCTGTCCATCACCAGCAGCAGCCCTTTTTCTTCTGAGGTGGCTTTGGCACCTCTTGTGCCTTAGTTTTCAATTCACCTTCACGAACTTTGAGCAACCTGGGAGAAAAGGAAGCAAATTAGCTGGGTGTTTCCCCCACATTTTGTATTGCTGTGCAATTTGTCTTGAAGAGCATTAGTAGAGGAGGCTCAGCACGGCTGAGTTAGGAGCCTTTCAGCTTGGCGTGATTTGAGAACCACGGGCTCTGCTAAAAACACCAAACTAAATCAAATCGCGGACAGAACTGATTTCCATCAACCCAGGGAAAAATCAGCAGCATCCTGAGAAGGGTTTTAGTAATCTTCTTGCAATGCTAGATATTCAGGAGACATCTTACAGCACTTCCCTCCTGCTCAACCCGGCTGTGCACATGCTGTGCCGAGTTTTCCCTGACATTCGGGCCCATGGAGTCTCCGGTGACAACAACACACCAGCATTTGGAGATCAAAAAGCAGGAAGGGAGCCCATTAAATTCAGGGCAGCTGGCAAAATCCAAGCACATGCCTCACCTGATTAAGCTGACCATGGACTCGGAGACGTTGTGGCCCGAGGCAGCGCTGCATTCGTAAAACATGAGCTTATGCTCCTGGAAGACACAGCCCAAAGAGAGATGTAAGATTCTTGCACTGGCATAGCTTAATACAGGAATAAATAGCCAAGGGACAGTCACAGTCAAGAGGAAACAGGAGGACTCAAAGAAGCAAATAACAACTTATTTACTGGAACGTGAAGGTGAAATCCAGCTTTTCTGGGAGCTACGACACCAACATTTAGTATCAAGGAAAAGGCTGACACCACGGACAGAACTTGCAATGCCCTCTAGTTAGTGGAGCAAATACAGAGCCATAACCAGGTGTTCCCAGGTCTTTTGTGCCTGCCAGTGACTGGTAGGGAAAAAAAAAAAAAATTTAAAAAGCATTTAACCCCTTGTCCTGCTGTGTCCATTTGTAAAACTGGTCAATGGATACTGGTCCAAATCCCATAAACTTTGAAGTTAAGTTGGTAAAGATGAGATTCTTCTCGCCTAGTATTTATTAGCCACCTACATTTGAGGAGATTAATTGTACTTCAAGCATTTCAGTATCTTTAAATCAGGATAGGGCTTGGTTTTATTGTTTATATTTTGCTGGGAAAAGAGACGTGAGGCTTCACAGAAAAGACGAGCAGAGCTGAAAACATTTTAATCTATAGATCCAGTTCCACAAACTGTTTTACTGGGACGGTGCTGAGTCAAAACTAAAACAGCAAAGGGAAAGCAAGGCAGGGAAGGGTGAAAGATGGGTTCAGAGATCATTTTGCCACGCCACCGACACACAAAAGGTAAGCGAGGGGCTTTCAACTTTCTCCAGTCCTCAGGCCAGTGGCATCCATCCTCAGCTGTCCTTGCCTAACTTGGGTGGACAGCGGGCGTTAGCAGGGCCGAGCACCTACCTTGGCCAAGCGTTCCCCCTCCGTCGTAGGGACCTGTCTCCCTGCAGCACAGTCGGTTTTGTTCCCGAGAAGCAGAATAGCGACTCCGTCTTCTGCTCCTTCCTGGGCAATTAAAGAGGGGAGGATCAGGAGTGCATCTGAATCTGCCTTGAGTCACAGCTAGACACATCCTGGAGCACCGTGAAGGATGCCCACGGATTCAGGCTGATAACAAAACCTTAGATTCTTAAATGAGTTTAACAGCGTTTGAGAAAGGGATTTTTTTTTCCCCCCTTAAACCATCTGTCCTGGTCCATTAACGGGGCAGAGCACCGGACAAGTTACCCTTGTAGCAAATTCACTTTGTGTTCAGCTTCAAGAACCCTCCAGAAGATGCTCCGACCAAGATTTACAGGTGCCGAGCAAGGCCACGTCCTATTTTGTTCCAGAGTTTTTAAACACTGACTTTGTACTTGACTGGAAATCACTGACGAGAAGTTTTTAATAGGACACGCATTACCTCCCATTTCCCAGGACTCCAAGGGGACTGTTCTTGATCTAAAAGTGCTATCAAAATAGCTTTCAACATTTTCCATTCCTCTGCACCGTTTTTTAATTTTAAAGAAGTTAATCATTATCATAACGATGCTATCAACAAATTACCCCAGGAAACACTGCAAAAATGTGGAAATTGTCAGTATTGGAATTTAAATCCTCCAAGAAAAAACTGTTTTCTAACCAAAGCAAAGCAGAATGTCCTTTACAAAGGGCTTGGTCACCCCCAGGTGTCCATCCCTAACCGGTGGCAGAGGTCAGGTGGGGAAATGCTGATCTCTGAGTCACCGCCAGTTCCCAGACCTTGGGAACAGAACAAGGTTTTCCTACTTCACCCACCTGGATGCAGCTCAGCCAGTACCGCACGTCCGAGAAGGAATACTCGGACGTGATATCGTACATCAGCACGACCCCGTCTGCCTTCCGGAAAAACTGCTTGGTGATGCTGTGGTACCTGCGTACATTTTAAATGGTCACCGATAAGGTCAAAGGAGGTTTTGCCTAGGAGCAAGCTGAAATCTGAGTGGGAAAGCTGGAAATGCATGGCTACAAAAAAGGCAGAACCCAGCTTTTGCTCCTATCCTGATCACAGAGGCCATACAAACAACCTGAGTGCTTATTTTTATCTTAATTACTTCCTTAATTATTCTTTATCAGATCGTGTACTGTACAGAGTCCCTTCTTAAACAACCCCTCCTTTGCTTAGCAAAGCCAAGAACATTCATTTCCACTAAATTACCAGAAAAAAAAAAAAGGAAACCACAGGTCGCTCTCCTTAAGGAGACAGCACAGCGCCTTACCTTTCTTGACCAGCGGAGTCCCACAGGCGGAGAGCGAAACGCTTGTTGTCCACAATGAGGTTTTTGACCTGATAATCCAGTCCTAGGAGACACAAAAAGGGACATTCTGATACCATAGAGCTCATCCCCGCAACAGAGGATGGATGGAGAAGGCACATGGTACAGCTCTGGTCTGAGGCTGCAGCTTGAGGGGGCTGGTCCCAAGTGAACCTCCAGCTTTTAGGTCATTAATGGCTGGATTTTGGGAAGGTCTCTAATTTCATGATGAATAAAACCAGGTTGGTTGAGAGAGGAAAACAGAGCTGAAAGGCAAAGCAGAGAGAAAAGCACTAGGGCCATTGGTATTGGTGCCCTAGAGATGGAGATGAGGACCAGCATTACCTGCTCGTGAGCATCCAGGCATGTGAAGTTGGTGGCCCTATTTGGTCCTTGGTGACAGGTTGCATAGCACGCTTGGTGTGAGCTCTAACATGCATGTAACAAGCACCAACAGCTTGTGGGGTGGAGGAAGGGGAATTGTGAAGGTCACCCACACCTGAGCAGAGCCGTGCTGGAGAAGAGCTGGAGGAGACCTACCTACTGTGGCGGTGAGGTGCGGATTGAAGGTGTCGGCGTGCAACCGGTACAGGAATGATGTTTTGCCCACGTGGGAGTCCCCGACAAACAGCACGTTGTAGAGGTGGTCTGGGTCCACGGAGGCTTCAGGAGAACCCCTTGGGGCAGCTCCTGCCCCATCTGCAGTCATGGCCTCTGGCTCTCCAGGGCTGGACTTGCCTTCCTGGCTTGTTTTCTGCCCAACCTCTTGCTGCTTCTTCTGTTGATCAACATCGAGGTGTTCACTCTGTTCTCCCAAGAGCTGCCTTTGAGGCTGCAGACATCGGCTGGCTGCATCCCCCAGTAAGCTGTATCCAAGGACCATCCCTGACTGATCATTCCCAGCATCTTCCTCTGGTTGGATCCGTGTGTAAAGGGTTGACGCTGGTGGCACCTCTTGTTTTGGAGGCGTGGCAGGTCCGGCAGCTACCTGCTCCGTTTCCATCATGTGCGGTGGCTTCTCCTCCAGCTGCTGGGAAGCAGCGTTAAGCCTCACCTGATCTGCCTGTGCTGAGACCTGCTCCTGAAGCTGGCTTTGGGCTGCCTGTCCCGAAGCACCTAGCCGCTGCACATCTGGAATGAGAACATCCTCCTGCATCATCGTTTCCAGCTTTAGTGTGCTGATTTGTAATGTCACCTCAGAGACCGGGAGACCCAGCACAGACGCACCATCATCATGGCCCTGCTTTATCCCTAGACTCTGAGTTTCAACTAAAATCCTCGCCCCTGCCTCCAGCCGCTCTCCCTGTACCACTTCCAGACCTTGAGCTCCATCCAAAGGCCTCTCCTCTGAATCGGCCCTCTCTCCCTGCCATATTTCCAGTGTCTGGGTGTCCTCCAGGATCTGCCCATCTGGACCAGTGAGTGCTCCCACCATTGCTTCCAGACCAGGATCCTTGGCAGCAGCGGCATGCTCGGGATGTAAAGCGGCCTCAACCAGAGGGGACACATGGGCATCAGCAGCCGCCTGCCACACGTCTGTGGGGTGAGCTGCACACAGACCTGCCTCCAACCCAGGAGTCTGGCTGGGCTCCCCTTTCTGCACCCCAGCTGCACCCAGGGATGCTGGATCTGCCTCTGCGCTCCCTCCTGGGGTCAGTTTGGGTCTGTCCACCTCTGCAAGGGGCTCCAAGCTTGCATCGGTGCTCTGGTCCTTCTCCCTACCCAGGCGTCCAGCCTCCTCCCATAGTCCTACACCTGCACCAGGCCCCTCTCCCTGCACAATGGCCACTCCATGGGGGTGAAGCCCAGGCTCCAGTGCCAGCCCGTGCTCACCCGGCCCTTGTGCCTCATCCTCAGCCTCATCCCCACGATGTGTGGCTGAACATTCGCCCCTTCCCATGAGGGTTTCTGGGCTGCCACCCCCAGGCAGCTGCATGTCCACCAACTCTGGGTTATCAACCCGATCCAGGGCTTGATCATCTGGAGCCAGGCTCAATCCCTGCTCGGTCCCCAGGGAGCTGACCTCACTCAGGGGCTCCAGATCCCCCTCTGTGCTCCCTCCTGGTTGGCCACTCCATGGGGGAGAAGCCCAGGCTCCAGTGCCAGTCCATGCTCACCCGGCCCTTGTGCCTCATCCTCAGCCTCATCCCCACGATGTGTGGCTGAACATTCGCCCCTTCCCATGAGGGTTTCTGGGCTGCCACCCCCAGGCAGCTGCATGTCCACCAACTCTGGGTTATCAACCCGATCCAGGGCTTGATCATCTGGAGCCAGGCTCAATCCCTGCTCGGTCCCCAGGGAGCTGACCTCACTCAGGGGCTCCAGATCCCCCTCTGTGCTCCCTCCTGGGGTCAGTTTGGGTCTGTCCACCTCTGCATGGGGCTGCAAGCTTGCATCTGTGCTCTGGTCCTTCTCCCTACCCAGGCTTCCAGCCTCCTCCCATAGGGATAGAGGGCTTGATCATCTGGAGCCAGGCTCCCTCCCTGCTCTCTCTCCAGGGAGTTGACCTCACTCAGGGGCTCCAGATCCCCCTCCACACTCCCTCCTGGGATCAGTTTGGGTCTGTCCACCTCTGCAAGGGGCTCCAAGCTTGCATCGGTGCTCTGGTCCTTCTCCCTACCCAGGCTTCCAGCCTCCTCCCATAGTCCTACACCTGCACCAGCCCCCTCTCCCTGCACAATGGCCACTCCATGGGGGAGAAGCCCAGACTCCAGTTCCAGCCCGTGCTCACCTGGCCCTTGTGCCCCATCCTCAGCTTCCTCCCTGAGATGTTTGGCTGAACATTCCCCCCTTCCCAGGAGGGTTTCTGGGCTGCCACCTCTGTGCAGCTGCATATCTGCCCAGGACTCATCTGCCTCCATGTCCACCAACTCTGCATTATTGACCTGATCCAGGGGCTGCAAACCTGGAGCCAGGCTCCCTCCCTGTTCAGTCCCCTGGGAGCTGACCTCACTCAGGGGCTCCAGATCCCCCTCTGTGCTCCCTCCTGGGGTCAGTTTGGGTCTGTCCACCTCTGCAAGGGGCTGCAAGCTTGCATCTGTGCTCTGGTCCTTCTCCCTACCCAGGCTTCCAGCCTCCTCCCATGGCCACATGCCTGCACCAGCCCCCTCTCCCTGCTCAATGGCCACTCCATGGGGGTGAAGCCCAGGCTCCAGTGCCAGCCCGTGCTCTCCATCCTCAGCTTCCTCCGTGAGATGTTCAGCTGAACATTCCCCCCTTCCCAGGAGGGTTTCTGGGCTGCCACCCCCAGGCAGCTGCATGTGCACCCAGGACTCCTCTGCCTCCATGTCCACCAACTCTGCGTTATCGACCTGATAGAGGGCTTGATCATCTGGAGCCAGGCTCAATCCCTGCTCGGTCCCCAGGGAGCTGACCTCACTCAGGGGCTCCGGATCCCCCTCTGTGCTCCCTCCTGGGGTCAGTTTGGGTCTGTCCACCTCTGCATGGGGCTGCAAGCTTGCATCTGTGCTCTGGTCCTTCTCCCTACCCAGGCTTCCAGCCTCCTCCCTTGGCCACATGCCTGCACCAGCCCCCTCTCCCTGCTCAATGGCCACTCCATGGGGGTGAAGCCCAGGCTCCAGTGCCAGCCCGTGCTCTCCATCCTCAGCTTCCTCCGTGAGATGTTCAGCTGAACATTCCCCCCTTCCCAGGAGGGTTTCTGGGCTGCCACCCCCAGGCAGCTGCATGTCCACCAACTCTGGGTTATCAACCTGATCCAGGGCTTGATCATCTGGAGCCAGGCTCAATCCCTGCTCGGTCCCCAGGGAGCTGACCTCACTCAGGGGCTCCAGATCCCCCTCTGTGCTCCCTCCTGGGGTCAGTTTGGGTCTGTCCACCTCTGCATGGGGCTGCAAGCTTGCATCTGTGCTCTGGTCCTTCTCCCTACCCAGGCTTCCAGCCTCCTCCCATAGTCCTACACCAGCTCCCTCTCCCTGT